ATCATAAAAAATCATACTACTTAGGTATAGGTATTTTAGGAATCATTTACTTGAGCTCAAATGATTTCACGCATCACACCCATTTCGTTGTAAAAATCTATTTACAAAACTTATTTTCTTTTCAAAAAGATAACCAATTCCTCAGTTTAAATTCAGACACGCCCAAGAGTATGCCACAATCCCTCAAACCAAGGCTTTGATACCAACTTGTAACATCCCAAAAATATTGATAAAAAATTTCATTTTTAAAACTACCAAATCCATACATCAAGTGTTTCAAAACTACTCATAGTAAAAAATGTATCACAATCATCAAAGTAAAATAACAATCATCAATGTGGAAAGTCAGAAGGGGATATTGTGTGTGTCAAGTCGGGTCCTTCCCTTTGGAGCTGGAAGTACCTGGAAATGTTTAAACCAAAAACCGTGAGTAAAAAGCTCAGTGAGTTCCCCAAAATATCATATACATATAGATAGGCCCAACCCAACATACATATAAATGGGCCCAACCCGACATACATATAAATGGGCCCATCCCAACATACATATAAATAGGGCCAACCCAACATGCAAATGGGCCCAACCCAATATAAATATAAATGGTCCCAGCCCAACATACAAGTGAATGGGCCCATCCCAACATACAAATAAATGGGTCCAACCCAACATACACATGCAAGAGTCACAAAGATAGCTAGTATCCTACACAGTATAGTGAGAAGACTCACCCATCTCCTGAAATCATCTAAAACATAGCTCACTTCCACTTGGACGACACTACAACACACCAATTGAATCAAACAAGGTATCACCTTAGTCTAACCTCCAAATCTATTCATTTTGACCAACAGACAAACCAGATCAACAAGTCAACGGTCAAGGTCAAATTTAGTAATCAGCACTCCTACTAGTTTACCCTCACGTCGTGACAACTTATGGCCATGTCGTGGAAGACAGACTTAACCCAGTCTCAACTCAATCACGATTCAAATCAGTCCCGACTCAACTCAGTTTCAATCTAAGTCATCATCATGTTGTGATGTTTATTCCATCACGTCGTGACGGAAATCAGTCCAAATTAATCGGGGGAAAACCCTAGTCATCACGTCGTGACAACCAGAACGTCACATCGTGAAAATTGATGTAACAACATAATGGATTAAGCCATTTCCCATTGATCATATAAGCTCCAAAGCTCATATCTGATTCTTCCCAAGGTCTTAATGGATAAAGTTTCTAACTTTACCCATTAATACATTCTTTTAAGCCAAGATCTCAAATCTAAGGTCCTTAATTGTGATATCCCCATTTTTCACGGCCAGAAAAGACCGATTTTGTTTATGCTTTATAAAAGAATCAAAGTAACCCTTTTAATAAAAATGTTGCAGAATTTGTTCCCAATAAAACATGATAAATATGTTATCAAATCTTTTCTGAAGAAAAGTATTTTTATTCATTTTAAAACATTTGGGATATCATAGTCAATACAGAAACATAAGCATAAATAGAACTTACATTCATTATCACTAGTGATTTATATCTCCTTAATCTCTCAGTGTAATGTGACTTCATATCAACACATGTGATATAGATAAACTGAGTGGGTCGGGTTGGGAAACCTGGTGAGTACATAAGGTTTTCAACCCACAATAAATAATTTTATTAACTTTATCACACCAAACAAACCTGATTACCCGTTCCCGTTATCCTCACTTTACGTCCCTAAAACATCTAACACAAGGGACCTAATCTAAGGACTTTCTTCGGGGTGAGAACACATGCCTCGGGGGTTCCTCAGCAATTCATGTCAATTAAGGCAACCATGTGGGAGATGGAGTACTGTTGGTGAGCACACAGTTCAAATAAACACACAGTTCAAATAAACACCTACAGGTTGCGAGCCTGCTAGCGTTCCACTGGACTGTCTAGAATAGTCTGGTCATCATCTATACTCCGCTAGATGACTGGATCATCAATAACATCTATATCGAGGCCACTCATTATTTTATTTGGTCACACAACAACTATTACATCTACCCGTGTTTTACCCAACACATTTTGTAGATATAAAATACATATACAATTTAAATCATTTAAAACATGTATAAAAATATTTCACCCAAAATAGACAGCAAGCATTCAGACAATATTCACACATAACACTTAATTTATATTAAATATTTCATATATATATATATATATATATATATATATATATATATATATATATATATATATATATATATGTGTGTGTGTGTGTGTGTTGTGTAAGATGAAAGGGACCATGCACTCACTTGTTAAGGTGATGACTCGGCACTCGGACATCATTTCGTTACTCTTAAAACAATTTCCCTCGACAAAACTTAATATCATTACCACTAGATTTTAATCTAATATTTACCATGACTAATTATTATTATTATTATTATTATTATTATTATTATTATTATTATTATTATTATTATTATTATTATTATTATATAAGCGTTTAAACAATACTTTCCAACCACTATGTACAGACAGGGGCCAGACATAAAACACCGAATGGCAGGACCATTTTGGTATATAGCACTTCTGAAATCCAACAACCCTATGCAGCATTTTAAACCAGATTCCCTGTACCGCGAGTAGTTAAAAAGATATTATAACGGCACTTATATAAGTCATAATAATAGCTCAAATATTTATTATAAGTTTATAATAACAATACTAATTTTAAATATAAACTATATTAAAAATAGGGTAAGGATAACTTACTTACAAGGGGATTTTAGCTAGCAGTCGGGCTCTGCAGGGGCAGAACTTCGTCGCTGAGTCTTTATAAGAAAGATTCGTGCAGCGGTTCAGCGCTCACCTTACTATACTAAAACTACAGAAAGAGAAGTCGAATCATGAAGGACCGAAATGCTCGGGGGATAAGAAGAAAAAGACTCTTGAATCAAGATACTGGTGCAAGAAATATGAGAGCCCAAACATTTTATTTATAGTAATTGAATTTACAAAAAATATCATCCACAATTACTTAATGACCTTATAGTTATATAAACAACTAAACACCCCTTTATAATACTATTTTAAATAGATTTAACGATATTTATACTATAATGTCGAAAGAACTCAACATTAGTCTTATAATGACCGCATCGTCGATACCTTTCTAATGATATATACATATGTATATATATATATATATATATGTGTGTGTGTGTGTGTGTGTGTGTGTGTACGTATATATGATTTATACTTTATTTTAATACGTAAATATGTTATTATAATTTGTAACTCGTTCATACGAACTCCGTTTTTGACGTTATTTATATCCACACATAGGTGGAGACGTACTCTACAACTTTTTTTTAGACTCCATCGGCTAATTTTGAGTTTATTTTTAAAGTTATATTTTTAACAGGCCGGGACAGGATTTGTCCGTTAAAATCTCATAACTTCTTCATTCGATGTCCATTTTCGTCTGTCTTTTTATCATTACACTACTAATAACGAGATCTTCGATTCTCGTTTAGGTTGTGTGGGCTAAAAACCGCTCGATCTAATACTCGAACTTCGGGCTGTACACCGTTAAGCCGAAACTTCGAAAAATCATAACTTCCTCATACGAAGTCAGATTTGGGCGTTCTTTTTATGGACGCTCTCAGGTTAATATATTGTACGACTTTCATTTAGATTACTAAGGCTAAAAGTCGCTCTATCATAAATTCACTATTTACGTCTTTCCGATGCCGTGCCGATTCCGTCGCGAAACTTTGAAGGGTCATAACTTTTTCGTTATAACTCGGATTTCGGCGCTCTTTATATGTACGAAACCCAGACATATTCTACAACTTGATGAAGATTATTTATTCTAAATAATCTTTTGTTGAAAAGTCGTTTTTGGCCCCTATTATCTCTAAATTAACTTAGCCCGGATCTACGGTGTTACATTAATGACAACTTAATGCCTAGAATCAACCACTAAGCACTTATTTCTTAAAGCCCTCAATCCACAACTTTCAGAAGGGTTTTAGGAACCCTATTGATCCTTAAAAATGCAAACTTTATAGACATACATGCACCATGTATGTCCTTTCCAAATCTAGGTCCAAAAGATGTAACATGACCTAAAATCCATGCAAAGTCCCCAAATTAAAACCACATCCTAGATCTATAAGATATAATGCTCTTGGGACTCAGAGAGATCACAAAGTTGCAACCTTTATCTCTTCTACTCATTCAATCTTCACAAATGGGGAAAATATAACATAAAACCAAGATCTAAAAGACATACAACAAAATATGAGAGTTTTGAGAACTTACAAAAGTACAGAAGCTACACACAAGGATGATGCGAGGTTGCTTGGTGGAACTAAGAACTAATTCTTATTCTCATTATTTAAAAACCACCACAAGCTTGCAAAAGTGAGATAAAAAACCTCAAGAGGGATAGGTCTGGCCAAAGGGGCATTTGGAGGTAATGGCGGCTGAGAATGGAGTAAACCCTATCCTCTCACTTCCTTTAAATAGGGTCCAAGTCTGAAATTAGGCTTTTGCATCTGATTAGGTGTCACGTCGTGACCCATAGAGTGTCACGTCATGACCCTTGGATGACCCTTCCTGCATAATGCGAGCATGTCACGACTTGACGGTGCCTCCCTTACGTCGTGCCCCCCCCCCCCCCCCTTTAAAATCCATATTTTACTTAAAATTTCGTACATTGGGGATCCTGATGTTACATGAATGTTTTCTTTCCCTGGAGCATTTGAAGACTCAAGAGTTAGTATATTTGAATATACTAAAAGGTATGATTCTTATCCTTGTGTTTTTGATTTTAGTAGGTCAATAGTTGTTTCATAAAGTATGTTGCTATAATAGTGAAAATGTCATAGAAGTTCTAGGTTGCATATGCCCTTAAAAGTTTATGAATAAAAATCCGATGTGCAAATCTTTATATTGTAACCTAGAAATCCCATCATAAGTTAAGTCAGTTTTTAAGTATACCAAGAAAAATGCATATAGATGTAGCATATTGGGTGCTTCGTTACTTGAAAACCATGCTTGGACAAGGTTTGTTTCTACCTTCGTTTAGGAACCTCAACCTAATAGTTTATTGTGATGCCAGTTAGTTGAGTTGTCCATAAACAAGGAAATCTTATACTGGTTATTTTATTAGTTTGGAGAACTCCTATTTATTGGCGAACAAAGAAACAGAGTGTTGTTATCAGATTGTTAGTTGAAACATAATATAGATCAATGGCCTAACACGGTGCGTAAGATAGTTTGGTTAAGATGGATTTTACAAGATTGTGATGCTACACAAGTTGGAGCTGCACCTTTAATGTGTGGTAATGAACTAGCCAAACACATCACAGTTACTCCAGTATATCATAAACGCACCAAACATGTGGAGATGACAACTTTGTTAGAGAACGAGTAGTTAATGGTGAAATAAAGTCTTGTGCTATCCGTTCAGAATTTCAAACTGCATACATATTTACTAAAACTTTAGGGGTAGATCCAGTGGCAGACCTATGTAGGGCATTTGGGGTCCCGGGCCACTGCTCAATTTCCGGCACGCAATGTAATTTTTTTTTTTCTATTACGTGCACCCATTTGAAGTACGAGGGATGCCCTACTAAAACAGTCTGCATCCGCTACTAGGTAGATCGCTTTTGATTACTATGCATCAAAGTGGGTGTTCGTGATCTTCAGAGTTCAACTTGAAAATAAAATTTAAGGTTATTGTAATTATTTTTTGATATTATTAGTTTTTTCGGTTTATGTTTTCCTTGCTCAACAAGCCGTAGAGTTATTATCTATTTAGAATTCTTATCCAGTTAGTTTTGCATTCTATCTATATCCGATCAAAAGTTGTATTCATATGTTGTAACGAAAGTGTAATAAAGTGTGGGGATAAATGACATTTAAGTCAAGATGAAAGATCGACAGGCGCATTTTATGTCAACGATATTGGTGGCACGATCTGAAAATTAGTCGGACAATGAAGGGTATAATTGTAAATAGGCAAGTATAAAACGACGACTTGAGGGCAGAGTCTGTTTCATGTGTTGCCAAAAGGGCGAACGAAGCAGAGCAAATTCCGTTATCTATCCACACCAAAATTCAATCTTTTCGCATTCTCTCAATCCTTGATATCCATCGTTTTCTCTGAATCGGTATCTTTGCTCTTCGAGAAATTTCGCTTGTTTTTTTGATCTGGAGGTTTTTTCAAATCGAATTTTCTAGGGTTTTTTTGAGAATTCATCAGCCATGGTTTACGATTCGATCGCCAACGCTTCGATCCCGACTGCGGTTTCCAATCCGAAGGAAATTAGCAAGAAAAAGCGGGTACATTTATTGAATTCTATTCAATTGTTCGATTTTCTGATGCGTATCGTTTGATTGATTGATAGTTGCGAGAGAAACGTGTTGGTTTTTTCTTTTTGGGAAAATAGGACGTTCTTCTTGTTATTTTGTTACGATCTAACCTGATTTTTTCAATCTTGAAGGTGAACAGGACTGCCAAATTGAAGCAGTGCAAGCTTGATGCTCGTCGTGAACAGTGGCTTTCTCAAGGTGATTTTTCTCAGTTTTTTGTATCATTTGTATTTGATCTGATATGAGTTGTATGTGCTCTTATGGTTAATCAATTTTTTTCCTTATAGTGAAGAACAAGGGGTTTAAGGAAGAAAATAAAGGCGATGTTCGTGCAAAAATGCCTGCTTCAGACATGCATGCCTCAAACGAGGGAGATCGATCGCTGGTGAAATTAGTGATTAATCCTGGTGGTGAAGAGAACGATGGTTTGATGAATCATTACAGCGATTGGGAGTCGCCTTCCAACAGCCCTACTAGTCATACAAGCAGCTTGGGAAGTAACAGATCAGTGGCTAATTTCACCGGTAGTAGTAGCCGGAGCAGCAGCAGTAGCAGCGGTGGTTGTTATTCAGAAAGCATGACAGAAGAAGATGATGGTGACGATGGATGCTTGGATGATTGGGAAGCAATTGCTGATGCTTTAGCCGCCGATGACATTAAAAACAATCATAACCCTAATCCGGACTCCACAACCGCATCATCAGAGCTAGAGCCTGTAGAAACAATCAAAGAGGATCAAGAGGATTCCCATGCACAAGTGAATCATCGAGCCTGGAGACCAGATGATGCTTATCGTCCTCAAGGTCTCCCAAATCTGCTAAAACAAAACAGTTTCCCCATGAATTCAGATCGCCATTATAAGAACGTTGGATTTGCATTTGCTCCATCAACATGTCCGATATGCTGTGAAGATCTTGATTTGACAGACACCAGTTTTCTTCCTTGTCCATGTGGGTATAGACTATGTCTTTTCTGCCACAAGAGGATTCTTGAAGATAATGGTCGTTGTCCAGGGTGCAGGAAGCTGTATGAACAACATGCAGAACAGGGGATTGCAGCTTCCAAACTGGGTCGTTCTCACAGCATGATCCCCAGGCGTTAGAAGAAAAGTATGTCGTCCTTTTCATGTGTGTCTTTTATGTTTACATATTAGAAGAAAAAAAAAAGACTGATATTAGTGGTAGGTATGTCCATAGACAGTGTTTGGGAAAATATGATCTTGTGAGTTTGCCTATAGGACTTGTTGGGTGTTGGGTGTTGGTATGTGAATACATAAAAAAATGGCATATAAAAAATCGAATACATAATTTCCACTTATGAGTTCATATCCATCATTACTGATATAATGTTAATCTGTGTTTATAACCTGATTGAAATATGTGATATGTTCTCAAAGATAAACTATGAAATCTTCACTTGTCATTTTTGTATGGGATTTGAATCTAATAAGTGTAACCAAACGTAAAAGCATAGCCAACATTTGTTAATTTGGATACAAATAATAAGTTTGGAGTTATGTGCAATATATAAAGAGTATCATTAAAAATTAAAGCTTAACTAATGATCCCCTTCTTGATCCAACCACTTTTATGTTTAAAATTCTCCATATCTTTCTAAATTTCCGGGATCATATTTGCCAACATAAGGCAAACAACATAATGATCACCTTCTAGTTGATCTGAATAGTAGCTGTCTAGTTCTTAGGAGGCGTATTAGGTAAAAAGGTTTTTAATGATGTGTAACTTCTGTTCATGTGTGAGGATGGATGATCCTCAAATTCCAATACCAGTCGCTTTCAGTTTCTCATTCGCTTAAAGAGAAGTGAGAGACAAGTTCTTTATGGATGTTACGATCATTTAAAAAAAAAATTTAAGTTTAATTTTAGTATTAGTATTTTTGATATTAAATAGATCACCCTTATATCATTTATAAACCTGCAGTTCTTATGTTAACGCTTGGAATAATTCATTATTGACCATTTTTGTAATAATTATTTTAGTGTTATAATATTTACATATTGTGATTATAACTGTGAAAATATGACATACTTGGTACCCGATCTTACAAAATTTACTTGATGGAAGTAACTATGCGTTACATATAAACAAAATTGCAAAAATGGTTCATGTGGTTAGGTCAAAATTGCTACTTTGGACCAAAAAGGTTTGGGCTAGCACTCATGGTCCAAAGGTTTTCATTTTCTTATCACTTTAGTCCAATTTACTTTAAACTTTATTGTAATGACCAATTTGCCCTTGTTTTTTGTTTTTTCAGGTTTTTTATTTATTAAAATACTTTTATGATTATTAAAAGAAAAAGAAAAAAGAAAATCTCTCTCTCTCTCTCTCTCTCTCTCTCTCTCTCTCTCTCTCTCTCTCTCCATACACCTTTAAACTCCAATGTCCTTTTCTGCCATCATAACCACTACCAGTCCACATTACCGCCGCCACCAACACCAGACGCCACCAACAGTCGGATGTCGGAAAATTTAACTAGCTCTGACGAGATTATTTTTTGGCAAGAAAAAAAATTACTGATGGGTCTCGAACTTGATTTTCGGCTCGAAAAAATTGCATGTGTGTCAGTGGGTCTCAAACTCCCATTTTAGGAATAATGATTTATAGGTGGGAGGTTCAGCGAAACTCAAATAAATATCAACCCAAAACTTAAGATGATTGTGTTCAAAGTGTTCTTGGTATGAACAAATAGAAGCCTAAAATGTAAGATCTGAAATCTTGTTCATAGTGAAGCAAATCAAATTATTGTCATTTTGGTTCTTGTGTTCCAAAAATGACCACCGATGAGCAAACCCTAGAACTTAACTGTAACATCCGAAAAATACAACCAAATTTAAATTTTTCAAAACAACCCGATTTTCATTAAAATGTTTACAAAAGGTTTTCAATACAAATTATTAGAGTGTTCCCAGAATCACATTGCTACAAAATCATGAGGAGCGGTACGATCGCGCCTTCGCCTTGCCAGGGTCTCCTGAAGAACCTGAAAAACATTAAACCACAACTGTAAGCCCGAAAGCTTAGTGAGATACCCCCAAGATACCAACCACGCATACGCCCTTCCAGGCTGCGACCTTCCGGTCCAAAACATACATAACATAACATAACATAGAACAGCCATGCATATCGGGTCTACTGCGTGACTGGTCCGCCGTATCGGGCCTTCAGTCCATCGGATCCATCCTCCAGGTCTAGTCATGTCCTTCGAGTCTACAGTGGGGTTGGTTCGCCCGCATCGGGCCTTCAACCCACCTGGTCCACTCTCTGAGTCTACAGTGTGACTGGTCTGCCCGCATCGGGCCTTCAGTCGGCCTGGTCCACTCTCCGAGCCTCGGCACGTCTGGTCCGCCCTCGTGGGGCCTACAGCCTATCCGGACCGCTCGCTGGGCCTTCGGAACAACCGGTCCGCCCTGGGTATCTTGGCCTACAGCACAAAGCAGGACCCGCCTCAACCCATCTCCAATCCAACAACCATGTGCACAAAACATACATTCATATAACAGTCATGGTCAACAAACGAGCAAGCAGATCACATGGCATATCATTACCCTAACCGGGTTACCGACCTAACCGGTCACTAGCATAGCACCACTCTGTATATCGGGAAACTGACCTTAGCAAGGCCTCCTAGCATGTACCATCCTAGCTACCAGGATGCAGACACATCAAACAATAACATAATAACCATAACCGAATCTCAATACAATAAAGGGTCGGCCTTGGTGCCTTAGACCCTGTTGATATAGTAACCGAATCTCAATACAATAAAGGGCCGGCCTTGGTGCCTTAGACCCTGTTGATATAGTGAGGATAACTCACCTCGAAACTGTCGGCTGAAAAGATAAGATCTTGCTGCTCCGAACTCTGAGACGAACTCCTCCACTGAACATCAAAACATACAACTCAACAAATACCCTTAATTACCAAAATACCCCTGGAAGACAACTGGTCAACCTTGGACAAGTCAAAGTCAACCCCTGACTGACCCTACTCGCCGAGTCAACCCGATGACTCGCCGAGTCCATACGCTCAGAACCTCCTTCGATCAGCGACCCAACTCGCCGAGTCACCCCAAGACTCGTTGAGTCCAACGACTCTGAGTCCACTCGCACCCAACTCACCGAGTCATCCCTTGACTCACCGATTCCTCGACTCAACCAGAAATATTGGGACTTCCTCGACAAGACTCGCCGAGTCCAAATGGACTCGTCGAGTCCAAGGCTATCTTCAACCTACTCGCCGAGTTGTTCTTCCAACTCGTCGAGTTCCAGGCCATCTTCAAGCAACTCGTCGAGTCCACCCATGTGACTCGTCGAGTACCACCGGTCTGAATCCATACAGAAGCATCTCAGGCCATGCAATTGATCCAAAACATAGATCCAACCTCCTACAATCCATCCATCACGTAAAGTGGCAAACTTTACGTGAATCTAAGGAGATCTAAGCCTTATTCACCTTAGAACCAAGGTTTGGGACATGGTGGCTTCACTAAGCACTCAAACACAGGAACTTTAATGCACTCTAGGCCTTCAATATTCCAGATCTGAGGTAGCAACCTCAGATCTAACCTCCAAACTCCAAAACATTCCAAGATATACTCCCCACAAACCCCAAAATGATGAAACTAGGAAGATACAGCCCAAGAACGAAAGTGTTACCTCCAAAAGGTGCCTCAATAGCAACCAAACTCGAATCCAAGCAAAGCCCTTTGATCCAAGCCACTTCTCCTTCAAGATTTCTTCAACCAACACCTTTCCAAGCTCTAATTTGCTCCACAAATGAACTCTCCACGAATTTAGGGTTTCTGGAACTCAAGGGGGAATAAGGGAGGCTGTGGAGGGGTATAATGCTCTTTATATAGGGCTCAACCCCGAAAATTAGGGTTTTCTCCATACAGCACCTACTCGCCGAGTCCATCTTTGGACTCGCCGAGTAGGCCACTAGACACGTGACCATAGCCGCGACCTGACTCGCCGAGTCTATCCATGGACTCGCCGAGTCACCCTCTAAAACTTACACTTTTAGCCCTTCAACTCTACTCTTGCGATTCCGGGATGTTACATTAACCTGAAATCTTTGGAGTCTTGATGAACTTAACTTGAAATCTTCAGAAAACCCTTCATAACTCCAAAAACTCTAATTTTGATTTTGGGCTTCTTCACGGATCCAACAACCACCAACTCAATTTCTTATACAACCATCATCACTGCAGCTACCAAGTCAGATTGAAGATAAACCTCCATGGCAGACTACGATTTCACAGTTCGAGATGACCCCAAAATCTTAGCATCTTCGTTTTACTGATGAAGAAAGAGAAACAGTGGGGTTGACGACCATAATGTGAGTGTATGCGTGCCTAAGCTCTTGAGAGACTGTAGAGAGATAATGGTGAGAAAGGTGTCGTTCGACCTCAAATATGGGTTGTATGTATGTGTTTTACGTTTATGATCAAAGTTGAAATCTGCAAAATCTTTGAAGAACAAAAATATCGAGTCTAAGTTCTTTAACATTTGGTTTCATGTTTTTCAGATCTCTTGTGTTCATCTTCATTTTGGTTCATCTGGCGTGTGTTTTTATGTAAAAACAGGTATGTGTTTATGTTTAAGAACAAATCGAGAATGGATCAGTCGGAGAAGGGGAAATGTCGGCACTGAGAGGAAGCATAGAAATCTTGGGAAGAACAAGTGGGTGGAGGATTTTGACTTTCTTTTTCACAGGAGAGAGGGAGAGAGGGGATGGCGAGGGAGGGAGAGAGAAAGATGTATTTTTTTCTTATAATTATTAAAGTATTTAAATAAAAAAAAAACAAAATCCAAGGGCAAAATCGTCATTACAAATAAGTTACAGTAAATTGGACCAAACTAACAAGAAAATGAAAACCTTTGGACCATGAGTGCTAATCCAAACTTGTTTGGCCCAAAGTAGTAATTTCGACCTAAGCACATGGACCATTCTTGCAATTTTGTCTTACATATGAGGGGAATCTGGTTTCCTATTAGATGTGTCTGATACGTATACAGAAGGGCATGAAATTTCTCTCTCAATGAGTTCCATAAGAACATCTGGTTATTCAAATACGCTCTCTCGCTTTTACTGAGGATACAATGTGTGTTTAATATGATTCTAAAAGTTTCTGCAACACCACATCAATCTAGGATTGTTCTTTTGTTGGATTTAATCTCTTAACATAAGACAACTTGCAATAACATTAGTGTGTTGGGAAGAATGTAAAAGAGAGGTTCTTGCACAACAAAAACACATAGATCCATTTTATTAAACTACACACATAATGACAATCACAAGTTGAACCTTGACAACCATTGTGACTTTTCAGTTTTCAACCCAACCATCACAAACCAACCAAATAAAATTACAAAACTAACCCTAATTAGTCGCGGAGAAATCAAATTTCAACATATCAGACTTTTACTTTTTCCCGCAACATAGACAAGATAGATTCTCCCCAAAACACATCCTGTTTCTGTATCTTATCATCAGAACGCCACTTCTCAACTCGTTTATCCACACTCTCCACTTCCTGCTTACCCTTCTCAACACTCTTCTTCTTAGTTTCAAAAACCTGTTTCTGAATCTCCTCAACCTCAGCAACAAAACTACTCTCACAAACAACCTCATCAAAATCCATACCATTCGCATGTTCATACCATCTCTGTGTAAACTTATACCTCTTCGGCCTATATTTCATATACCCATCTCCCTTCAAATGTCGATAATAATTCGCAATATCCAGCGGCTCAACAAGCCGCCTAAACACCGTCCCCACCTCCACCCAATCCTCCCGCCCCTCAAATTCATCCGGAAGATCCTCCCGCATCACCATTTCAACAATCACATCCCATATCTTAGCCAACTCTAGCCTGTTCATATTAGCCTGAAAGTCTGCTTTCTCATTTTGAAGCTTGAATGCCTCGTAGTAATCTACATTAGTATCTTTGTAGTTACGGATTTCACTCAGAATATCCCCAATCATCTTCGATTCAGTCCGAGATTCAGATTGCTCTCTTCTCAATGACTTATCAATCACCCTCTGGTTTTCTTCCTTCCTGTTCTCCGCCTCCTCAGCAGCGATTATACAGCATCTTGCACTTGTACTCTACAACAACACAACACAAATCAATTTAGGTCAACAACAAAATGGTAATTTGTGAATACCACTCACCAGTTGAAACAGAGCTTCGTTACTTGTACGATCCGCATCACCTGCAGTACCGTTAGGAGTCAACAACTTGTCGTTGAGGTCTTTCAGGTCGACCAAGTTTTCCAGGTGCAACCCGTTCTTCAATTCTTCTTCGTAACTAAAACTTTTTGAGAAACTTTTGTACGCAAAATCAACTAGCTTTTGATTTTCATCGGTTAGCTGTAAGAAATAAAACAGTAACTGTAGAACAGCGTTCGGGTTTTCCACCCGAAACTGTTGAGAATGGCTAGTGCAGAAAACGTAAAAACCCGATGGTCTATACGGAGAGACTTTTACAAAGTCAACCGATAGCTTCTCCATTAGAGAATTTGTAGGTTCCATGAGCTCAAATGCAACATGACTTGCAACTGTTGATGCATTTATTATTACATTCTCAAAGAACTCAACGCATTCAGCGTCTCCTATCGACTGATCTTCATCCATTGGTTGTCTCGCACTCGATTTTTTACGCTTATGATCGATGGGTTTGACTTTCTGTTGGAAGAATTTGAGAATGCTAGGTAGATGTTGTTGAATTGATATCTTAGGAGATAGCATCATGCGAGGAACAATGTCGTGGTCCATGACAAAATGGGTAAAATGACCCGCCCATTTCTCACGCCGGACTGCGTGGGACAGGGTCCGATCACCAATCAGAGGTGACCCGAAAGTGACGCACCCGATTGGGAGTTTTTTACCGCGTTTTTTTATGTATTCATCGAGCATCCAAAGTGTGGCAAAACTTGCTGTCGCACCACCATATAAATGCCCCGTGAATAAAATCTTCTTGTTTGCGTTCACAGCTTTCTCTATCTGAAATTTTTACAGTTTGACTTTCGGTCAATGTTCTTCGTTTTCAAATCTAAAGTTATAACTTGAAAGTAAAGTTGTTAGATTTATACCTCGGATTTGAACGTGGAATCGTTTAAAAGATCTTGAAATCTTTTAAGAAACGCTGCGTTGACTTTGGCGGGTCGATTCTCTCCGATCCGGCACAGGGACTTGAAGAGTTTACGATCAACCTCGGTTTCTCCAAAAAGATCACCATGGTACCAGTTGCTGACTTCCCACGATCCTGGAAATGCGAAGATAGCAACCTCCATTGATGGTTTCTTGTTGAGGTTTGTGATGAAAGGTTTGTTTTGTTTGTGGGCTTCCATGGATAGAGATTGAGCTGTTTTTGTAAGCTCATTGCTCAGGCTGAGTTTCACTGATTCTTTCTCTACCTCCATTTTCTCTCTTTGTAAAACACACACTAAAAGAACAGTTTGTAAGTTGATTTTGATTGTTTTTCCAGTTGTTGATTGGTGTTTAGTTAAATATATAGGGGATGAAATATTATAAAATAGAACGAAGAAATTACATGGAACGTGAGGATGGTATGAAATTACAATTTGAACCCTTTTGAAGGATAGCGATCATTTTAAAGTCAAAGAAAAGACGACCATAGCAAAGTTTGTGAAGCGATTTCACAAGTGGATTTTGTCCACTTGTTTGTAGCCAGTAGGCTTCCTTGAAGTTTCATGGTCATTCGAACGACGATTTTTAGGAGACGACTTGCAATTTTGTCTTGGTTTGGGAAATTGGGACTCAAATTCCTTGAAACCCTCAACGTGTGCTAAATGTGTGTTACTTGTTTTCGTTCATATATTATTTATTGGTTATAATAAGTGTATATGAATATTATGTGATACATGTAAACTAGTAAACTGTAAGATGATCCCACACTTCCAAGAGGTATGTATACGTAGGTATCATGTTCTTTTGATATTTGACCTTTTATGTTTTTTTTTTCTTCCTGTTAGACCTACTTGTTCAAGCTTTAGCATAATGAACAAGTTTCAAACCTATCTTTAAAGTTTTAGCTAGTCACACTTGTAATATCAAGGTCTTCCATTTTATATAATCGGCAAAATATACGAGTTGAGTAACCTATTAAAACGGACAATTTTTTGAGTTGGGATAATCCAAACGTTTTTTTAACCATTTATAAACATTTAGTGTGTTAATATGATTACAAAAAGTATGTTGTTACCATGAATAATTCATTTTTTGTATAAAACGGATCAAGTTAGAGAAAAGAAGTTGATGATCTTCAAGGTGGACTTTGAAAAGTCGATAACCCGATAGAAAGGGTAAGTGCATTAGGCATAAGTAATGGGTAAACCATAAGACTCTAGGGATAAAAACTCACAATGTAAGCTACCTTTGATGCACTTGTGTTGTGGTGTGTACATAAACCCCGCCCATGACGGCCTTCCCACTCTTGCTTTGAGAGGTGACGAGTATCAGGGCTCCAAACATTAGAGTTTGTTTTTTCTGGTAAGCACGTTTGGGTGAGAGTCCCAAATGTGATTTTAGTCTAAGTAATTGCAATCACAACCTCCAACTAGTTTGGATTGGAGAAGCCTATATTGGAATTGTCACAACGACATTTGGTGGAAAACTTACTGTTGTAAAGCCCCATGGAGGCTTTGACGTTACAAAAGAATTCAACGGCTTGCTCGCAGATGGATAGATAGAGGCTATACATACTTTTTGATTTCCGCTTTTAAGCCACGAGGAAACCACCCAATTGATTACTCTTCAGTCCGATAAAAAATTAAAGAAGAGAGGGCCTTAATTTCAATTATGTATTTTTCGATGTCATCATTTAAGAAAATTGAACCCAAAGCCTTGTGGGGATTACAGGTTACAGAATTGGTCTCATGTTGTATTAAGGTGCTTAATCAAACATGTTAGTATATCAATGAAGGTTCGATCCATCCATATGGAAGAGATAAAGTTTCTAGGCTTGTATAATTGTGTATCCAGGCAACTTTTTTTTTCCTTACTCTAGCTCTCAAAAATGGTAGATGGGGCACTGTACTAGTCTGGCGCCAACTCCGCCACCTTCAAATGTACAGTATTAAGACTCAACAACCCCTGCTCCCCGTCTTCTTCCCATCGCATCATCAAATTCTTTGATGCTCTCCAATGCCTTACAACAGGGTTGACACGAGTGATGTCATATTAGGCATAAGTGACACGAGGACGTGTCAGGCATGACACGGGGCATGTCACTATAGTGTAATATGACACGAGGCCGTGTTAGGCATTCTCTTCAATGTATTTTTTTTCAAGGAAAACCTAGTAAACGACATCCGATTGCCCTCAAACTTTATATATAAGATAATACGATCACCGACCGGTTCTTGATCCAGGATCGAATATACCAAAATATCATCAATGAATACGATCACCGATCGATCCAGCATCGGCCTGCACACCTTGTTCATGAGATCCATGAACGCAGTTGGGGCATTGGTGAGCCCAAAAGGCATCACCACAAACTCGTAATGTCCATAACGAGTTTTGAATGCAGTCTTCATATCTTCATCCTGGGCCCTCATTTGATGATAACCCGACCTCAAGTCTATCTTGGAGAACCAAGATGCCCCCTGCAACTGATCGAACATATCATCGATCCTAGATAACGGATACCGGTTCTTGACCATCAACTTGTTCAACTCCCGGTAATCAATACACATCCGGTGTGAACCATCCTTCTTCTTGACAAAAAGGATCGGCGCTCCCCAAGGTGAGCTACTCGGTCGAATAAACCCCTTCCCCAATAGCTCCTGAAGCTGCGAGGATAACTCCTGCATCTCTGGCGGCGCAAGGCGATAAGCCACCTAGGCGATAGGTGTTGGATTAGTGTCTAAGTCCATAACTATTTTGGTATGTACTTGACCCATGGTGCATGGTCCTTTTGGGTTGCCTTCACCAAAGCAACTTGATTGGAGAAATAAATAAAGAGAGAGAGGTTATTATGATTTATTAACATGTTATAAGAATAATATATTAAAGGAGAAATCATATTTGTTTAATTAATATTGGTCAATAATTAATTAGGAATTAATTTTGTGATCAAGTGTAATTAATTAAACTAGAGGGGCTGATTTGTAATTATGTGATAGTTACAAAATAAGGTAAGGATTATCTTAAATATAGGGTGAACGAATTTAAGGAGATAATGCCTTAGAATTCGACTAGGATAAGGGTTTCTAAGACTTATCTTATGGTTACTTGGTGGGCAAGCAACTAGATAAGGATAAGGACTAAAACCCTAATCTTTACACCTATATAAACCCCCTAAGGCTCATGAATTCGTCTAAGCCTTCCCAAGAAGTCCTAAGGACGAATTCCTACCTCTCTCCTCTCTCTTTATACCTTCTCCATTTGCTCTTGGTGTTTGTAAGCCATTAGAGGAGTGACACTTGTGACTCTAAGCATTCCAAAGTCAATTCAAGGAGGAATTAGGATTGTTATTGCTACATAACAATCAAGGTAATATCTTAAACCTAATTATATGTTAATATCGATTTCCATATGCTAGAATTAGGGTTTATAGTCTTGGATTCAAAGCATGTACAATAGAGAAACCTAGATCCAAGCATTAGGGTTTGTATGAGCACATAGGATGTCTTATGACCAAAACCCATCAGTGGTATCAGAGCCTAGTATGGTTTCAATTGTATTGATGCATTGTATATCTAAAAAATTCATTTTTTTTTGGTGTTCTAGAGGCTGGACTCGCCGAGTCCAGGGTGACTCGACGAGTCCAGGCTTGACTCGACGAGTCAACTCGTCAGATAGTGCTTATCTCGGGATTTCTTGCTGTTTTTGCATATGGATAGTTACCTTATCATGTTAAAATCAATATTAATCCGATTATATGATATATTTGACTATATTTTTGATCTAATTGAAGATATTTATCAATTAATAAGATAATTGTTTCCTTATAAGAAAATTGATTAATTATTTTGAGTAAATTGATAAATTGTTTTGAAAGAAATCATTAAACAAATCAAATATGGATAATTATGTAATTAAATGTTAGTTTAGATTATTTGTTATTTGATCCTTGTTGTTATGAAAAGTTTCATATTTTACCCTTTAGGTTTTATAGTTTAAATTTGAACCCAAAGGTTTTGTTGTTTTGAAATTTAAATAATTGAAACCCTAATGTTTTTGAAATGTTTCAAAACTTGCCCTCAAGTTTTGGAATTTAAAAGTTGATTAAAAGTTAATTAGGAATGTTAAATTCTAAAACCCTAGTAATGTTTTGAAAAGTTCAAATACACCCTTATGGTTTTATTAATTAATTAAGAGTATAATTAAAAGAGACTTAATAAATCCATAAAAGTCTAGGTTAACCATTTAATTGAATTAAAAGTGTAATTGTTAAAGTTAACCACCTAATATTTTAAAAGTGTAAAATGCACCCTATACTATATATAACATTAAAAGTCTAACATTATATATATGTATGAGTAAAAGTCAGTCTTACCATTAGTAGGCCTCATTCACGAAGCTGGTCTATAAGGGGTGTTTAAGGAAATTGCCTATAAAATGGCGATTGAATGGGTATCCACTCTTACCCACCGCACGTTTGACTAGTGGAGGGTCGTTAGCCGAACAGGTAGGATAGGATGAAACCTTCCATTATAAGTATAATGAAATACAAAAGTAACTAAATGTTTTTACAAATTCCCAATCTTAGTTACTTAGGCAAAGTGAATTGATGCAATTCCATGAAATTACACTTTGTGCCCTTGCGAAGACGTTAGTGGAGCGTGTGTGGTTTACCGGCACACTAAATGGTTCTAAGCAAAGGTAGCAAAGGTGACTCAATGTTTGTCATAGTTCGGTGGAGCGTGTGTGGTTTACCGGCACATCGAATAGGTGACTGTAACATGTGAGGGCACCATGTAAGTTTGCATGGTTATTCACACCCGCTTTGTGATCCTCGGCATCCAGTCACAAACGAGAGGGGCATATCGAGATTTAAACATGCCATTGAAATGTTCAATGAATCTCAAAGGATCTAGGAGTTTTCATAGATTTAAAACTTAAATTTCTTTTTCATTTTTCATGGTGGAAATTAGTGAATCGTCATTCACTTAACTTCAAATATTCTGCAACTAGATTACGGCATCCCTTTTCTAGGTTGTAGCGTATTGTGTTGGGTCCTAGCCTTAGTATCTCATTTGGGTGATTTACTAAGGACTCAATCAATCAATCAACTAACTTGAATTTGTTTCTCCCGTTTTGTAGATGTCAAAGTTCGACAACTATGGTCTTCCCAAATCCCTTGGAACAAGCATTCCACATGAAGATGATATTCCACGATTCGATCGAGGAACAAGAAATCGTGCTTCACTTCCTCCACCTCCTCAAATTGTTCTCCCTAACCCACAAGATTGTAAAATTGAAAGGTTCAATATCACTCAAGCCCTTTTGGCAAGTAAACATAAAGAAGGAAAGTCAGTGTGTGCACACGTCTTAGGGATGAAGTCACACATTAATAGGTTAAGAATGATGGGATCCGTTGTCGGTGAAGAGATGGCTGTTAATTGGGTTCTTCAGTTACTTCCTAACTCGTATAGTGAGTTCGTAAGAGAGTACTATATGATGAACCACGACGTGACCCTTATGGATCTCAC